ATAATAATAATAATAATAATACATTTTATTTTAAAGGCACCTTTCAGAGCACACAAGGACACCGCACAGAATTACACAACGAATAAGAACAATCAGAATAAAAAACAAATTACAAAACTAAAATAGTATAGTGTTTTACTCTGTGTTCTCAAAAAGGCTGTGACCACAATTTGTGTTTTAATGTTATTGTATAACCTGTGTGTCTGAATGCTACTGTCTGTGCCCCTGTCCAGCCATCTTTGGAAAAGGATAAAAGCATGAAGTTTTAGCTGCTCCCTATAGGAGTGCAGAGGGACATGCATCACTGCTCAGACAGTCGGGTCACTTATATACCGTCTGCATCAGCAGATATTCACTGTGTTTGTCCCGCACTTTCCATGTGATGATGATGATGATCAACAGCAGCACCAATAAGCCCAGTCCTACATACAGAAACAAGCTGGAAGAAAGAGCTGAATAAGAGGGTGGATTTGAACAGTAAAGTCTTTCATGCTTTATAGTAACACAGTATAGTCACAGCATGCAGGAGAGATTTTTGAAGGAGTTGGGACCAAACACTAAGCAAAAGGTCTCAACTCGTAAGCTTATCCAGCCATGATTGATGAGGCATTCGGTGTGATTTCATATACTAAATATTTTGATTGACACTGTAATATTGTATGTCATATTGTATGGCGTGGAATTGCCAGTCACCCCGAAATGGCCTGTTAGACAATACTGTGAACAACAGATTTCTCTACAGGTTGTTGCAAGTTCAAATCTACTGAGCCCCAGTATATTGTAATGTTACGTTATGTGACAATACTGTAAGTCAGCGGCCATCCGACCCTGTCCTTTGTGTCTCCTTTCTGTTGGGCCAGCAGGTGTTGCTGGCCATCCTGTCCTCCTCCCTCTCTCTTGCCTTTCAGCCCCAGTGTGCCTAAGTTCCTACTGTGTTATCCTTGTTCTCTGGACTGCTGCATTGCTCAGTGGGTTGAGCATGTGGCTCGGACTATTATCCCCTCTGGTTATGACCTTGAGGCTGGCCAGACTTAAGCCATCAGTCCTTTTAATTTACATTGACCTTATTTTCCTTAATGTTTGGTACTGTTTTCTTTGTCTTTGTGTTCCTGATTTTGGTCTTCCCTGTTTGTGCCTGTGTTAACTATGTTCTGCTTGTACTTGTTCCTAGTATTTTCCTAGCCTTGTCAGTCTTCTGTTATGCTCCCTAGTTTCTTGAGTCATGTATTGGTAATTTATTTCACCTGTTACTTGTTGTCCTATGCCTTGTTGATTGGTTGATGTTTTTGAAGATTCACACCTGCCCTTTGTTAGTCCTTGTTACCTGTGTGCCTGCCTTTGTTTATTTCCCCCGGTTAGTTGTTGTGCTGTTTCTGTGTGTTGTTGCTTTGCTCCTTTGCCTGGGGGGTATTTCACGAAGCAGGAATAAGGGAAGCTCTGACTTATTTCGACAAGTCTGGGTCATTTAAGTGGAAATTCCGTTCCATCAATGTGTCTTAAGTGAATCCCCGCTGAGCTACCATGGTAACTTAGGTGAGTGAACAAGTCTGCTCCAGACCAGGGATGTGTTTTCCAAACAACGACAGAAGTTAGCATTAACAATGCATCGTACTATGGTAGTTGAAACTAACTAACATCCAAAGTGCGACTGTTTCCCAAAACCGTCATACCACAGTTGTTTGAACCACATTAGTTAGTTGGGACTACCGTAGTTCAAACTACCATGGTTCCAACGCTGATTGGTCTGACTGACGGTGAGTCGTGTGCATAAACTAACAAACTACTTTCACAAAAACTCGGGAACTGTGTAATATCATATAAATATATAATAATCACACATGATATGTCAACAATTTATTGTGTCAGTCAGATAATACCGATAACATGAACAATTCAGAAATAGCAATAGCGGCAACTAGGGCTGCACGATATTGGGAATAAATCACATTGCAATATTTATTCTTTCTGCGATATATATTGCGATATTGGGATTTTTAAAATTCTAATGAGTTAAATAGCTCTATTGCAGGGGTATTCAATTAAAATTAAAATAGGTCCAGTTAGAGAAAATTTCTTGAAGCAAAGGTCCAGAAGATCATAATGTCTA